GGGAACAAGGTCCCCCGAACAACTTACTGTGAAATTCGTTGGTACCGCATCATAATCTATTACGGAATTAAATTATATTGTTGCCCGCGCCGTCTCTCCTCCTCTTTTATACTACCGAACACGACGACCGCGAAAATCCAACCATTTGTTACGTCGACAACACATTTGATTTTGATTTTTATTACATCTAAGTACTTAGTACATAGTAACAATAATTTAACTACGATACACGTAGACAAGTATACGACGAAATATTTTCGAACTAGGTATATATTACTATTGATTCCGTATAAAATTATAAAATAATATTATTATTAATTATTATTGTACAGCGCGGATTTGTATGTTGCTGCATACTTTTACCCCTTTTTATACGTTTTAGATTTTCATCAATAGTCTGTTCGAACCATACTACCTAATTATAAGCAATTTACGAAGTTGCAGACCGTATGTTTGCATATTTCAATGACAATTATGTACCATCACGAAAAAATGTGCCAATCATCGCTTGAACGACAATGTACAATAACTTATTACTAAGATAGGTGCTTATTAATACTTATAATTTATGTCCGTGTATCACTGGATAACACTGCCACGACCATTCAACTATAGGTGTGCCGCGGTGTTTTGAAATGTGTTTTCATAAATCGTCACGGACCACCGGTTACGGTGATCCTCTGTACGTTAAGAATACTAGTTATAACTCTTGATTACGACTCGTTTGAGTCAATTTTGTTCTTAGACCTAGTTCTGTGAACAAAATTAAACAATGACCAAAAAAAAAAAAAAAAAACACAAAAAGTTGTTCCTGCTGAACGTTTATTTGCCATATCGTAAGTTTGTAAAACGGAGACGGAGATGCTAGAGTTCTTAAATCTTACCTTCATAGGCACAACTATGGGAGTGCTAGGGGATCTTAAGCATACCCCCAAATTTAAGATTAGCACCTCCAAAAATACCCAACATGTTTTTTCGTATAGTATCGGCTAAATATTTTATCTACGTATTTCATAATTAATAAACAGAACAAATACAGATTACTCGCTTGCAGACAATGCATGTGTACGTAAGAAATAAAGTTAAAAAGGTTATGCTACATTTTTATGTGTAAAACATCGAAAATTAAATGTCTTGTATGCTTATTATAAGTATCGTGTAAATTGGGATTGTGAGAACACTGCCCCCAATGATACTGTTGTGTGTCTATAATTTTAACGCCCCCAAACTCGGTGCAGGTCTAGTTGCATTTATGCTTACTTTTATGTTATATCCGATATGCTTTTATTCCCCGACAAGTGCCGTTACTGTCAAAATATGATTATTTTTACATTTGTGCACATTAGTTACCAAATACCAATACTATTATTATACAGATAGATTTTGCTAATTTATGTATATGCAAATTATAGAGGTAATATATTTTCAGGTAGCATTTTAAGTATAACTTGTATTTATTCTATTATTTTAGTTAGATTTACAAACATCACAGGTCCACAGACGTACTTTGAAAAAATTAAATTTATTGGTTTATATGTTTTTGAAACATTTATAGAAAAAAATATATCAATGTTCAAATATAAATCGATCATTTTATGCTTTTTAGCATTATTCATTTAAATTGTTTTTTAAAAAGATCGAGATGTACTGAATTATGCATTTCTAGTCTTAAAATCCTAAAATATGCAAAACAAAAATAGTATTATTTGATTCCGTAGAACACGACTCAAATTTGTATCCAGGTCAGCATTGAATTGGATAAACCGAAAAAAAAAAATGTAATTTCATAAACATCCGAACCCTACTCATAGTCATACTCGTGTTTCATTCAATTGATGTTTTAAGCGTTATAAATTCGAAATGTTTAAATCGTCAAACGCAAGGTATATATTTTAATACGGAAATAAATGTCAATAAACTCACCTTTGATTCAATCTCCGTGATTTTCGGGAGTAGGGGGGCGGCAATATTTGCAACTGCGTGGCACGCAACGGCAAAATCTGGAACGATAAAAATGTTTGCTATTCTAGCTTATTTCCGTTCTAAATACTACGGTTTCGTGCGATGCCGTTCCAGATAATTGTACACATATGGTGCATGCGATTTTCATATTTGAACGTATTTGATACGGCCACGGTCAAGTGTATCTGTTGAACTTAAATTGTTATCTCCCCCGTCGCGGTGTTTTCTTTTTAAACCAATTGCGCAACGTTTAAAAAAGAATAAAAACACATATCGATTTTTTAGAATAAAAAAAAGTTTTTTATTTCAATCGCATATATTATGTTATATTATTATGCTCTTAAAGCGCGTTTGTCGTCTTTGATGATGAATCGCAGTTAGCTAGTGATACACTAAAAATCGTCGGTGTACGATTACTTTTGCGCAGACACATATTAGGTGTATTATAATACACTGCGGGGCGACGAGCGGGGTAAACGGAGGGGAAAAACACGCATGACGTCGATTTCCACCAGTGTTGCACTCTCGTCGCAAAGGAATCGGATATCAAACGAACGGAAAGAAGATTAAAAAAAATAATAATAAAAACCCCACCGGTATACCTGCTATATAGGTAGTCATTTACTACATTTTATTTAAATTGTACAAACACATTATAATATTAAGCAAACATATGTATAATATTGTTAAATGAAAAAAAAAATATAACGTAAAAAGTAGAATCCTATTGTAATAATAATAATAATAATAGTAGTAATAATATTAATATAATAATATAATTTATGTTTTTGTGCTATACGGCTAAATTCCGAACACAATATATTTTTTTTTTTTATTTTTTTATTATTTTTTTTTTTTTCCATAAGACCTCTTAATTTATTAAATTTGTATACGTAAATCGTCGTAGCGATTATAATATAAATCGTCGTAGTGATTATAATAATAATAATAATAATAATAATAATAATAATAATAGTAATTATTTTTATCGTTAATTATTGTTTGTATCGAGTTTTAAAATTATTCTATATACAGGTTGTAACCTTAACAATATAATATTATCTTACTTAACATATCCCGTATACATATAATAGTATATAAACTTCCCGAGAATATAATATCAAGTATATAGTAATGTAATGACGCCTGAAATATCTTATATTTACATAAACTATTTAGGGTTTGAAAAAAAAAAAAAAGAAAAAGCTCGTTTATCATCGAGTGTAGTATTAACCTATAATAATATGAAATTATAATAATAATAATATTTACAAGTCATAATGCATAATATCATAATTATTCATGCTTAAGAAATAGTAATAATCTGTTTAAATATCGTATAATAATAATAATATTAACGTAATACTAAAATGCGGTGCGAACCGTTTTGTATATTTCGAACGTTTTATGATCGAGGGCTACAAAACATCGTAGTTTCTAAACGTATCCGTGATAATATAACATTGTAACATTAATAATTTATAATGTATCTATATTACGCATGAATATAATGTTAATATATTTCCATGTCGCTAAAATTCTAAAAACGAATGTTGGAAAATCGGCTTAATTTAATCACTATAATTATTGTAAAATAATGTATTTTACAGAATGTAAATCGGGTTTGATTAACTTAAATACGAAGAAAAAGTTAGGTATTACAATAGTAGTCGAGGTATTCGAGGTTTCGAAAAATCATAATTTTGCGGTCGAAACAGCGCATTGTCGTGCCGTACGATCGTAGTAAATTCGCCGTCATGACGCCGGGTTCCCGCGACACCGCTTACCCACATATAGTGTGACTTAGACTTTGTTGGAGGGGGGTGGGGGGACAGGTGTAGGATGGCGGGCGATAGATTCACTCATGACAATATTATGATGAATGGTGGTCACAAGTCGCAACCCGAAAGCGCTACAACAACTAAACAACTTGTGTTTCACGACGTGATTGATTGATTGATTGTCGAAAAAAACCTCGAAAATAGGATCTGTGCGGGGAGACCCCCGTCCGCCCGGGAGAAAATCATTGACGCGCCACCGCGGTGGCACGCCCGATAAGTTTAAAATATGTGCCGATTAGCGTGCGATTTCCGTGGCCCGGCGGACAAACCCGAAACAAATGGGCTGGAACAAATTGGCAGCTTGTAACAATTATTAAAGTATAGGCATATTAGGCGCATTGAAGTTTAAATTAACTCGTGCCTATATCGGCTGGCCTTCGGACGAATAACGTAGTGTTCGCGGACCGCGTCCCGGGGCCCGTTTGACAATTTTAAACGTTCGAAAAACGCGACACGATTGCGCTCCGAAAAAATACAGGCGATTGATGATCGTACATAATATAACCAGTGGTGTTCTCGTAGGGTATACTCAACACATTTTGTCGAAAAACCATTGGTATACTGCGTACTCTCATAGAAAAAAAAAAAAAAACACCCGTCACGTTGTTAATTCCATGACCACTATTGTCGCGTCGTCATTAAAATCGAAACAGTATAGCCGATAAGAGTCGTTAGATTTTCATACAACTGAAAATTTCACAATTTTATAAAACGACAAACCGCGTAATTTTTTCGGAGCGCAATCGCGTCGCTTTTTGAAAAGGCGAAACGGGCGCAATCGCGTTGACACGGAATCCCCGCGCGATCCGCGAGCCGAGGCCGAATTGAAACGCGTTCAAAACTGAATCTCCGTGTGATGATAAGGTCACGGCTGAGCGGTTCTCCGCGTTCCTATTCGGAGGAGGGGGGGGGGAGTAACGGTATAAACCGTTCGCAATATCGAAGAGCGAATTGCGAATTGATATCGGAATATTTATTGATACCAATCGGGATCACGGAACGGGCACGGAGGTTATACACTACCCCCCCTACACCCCTACCTCGAAATCCCCCCTGAGCATACCGGTTATTAAGCTGTACGGTTTTACGCGGGGCCTTCGGTCGCCGGCCGCACATTACACTACTACTACAATAATTGTTTAAACTATACGTTAATATGTTACATTGTTACTTCGTACCGCAGCCGGCGGTACGCATTCAGTCCGAGTACGAGGTCTTGTCGGAGCCGGGCGACGGCGACCGGGGCGAGGTCGCGGCCGCGTTCAAGTGGTGCGACTGGTACGTGACGGCGTGCGGATGGACGGCGGTGAGGTGGTGCAGTTGCGGTTGTAAATAATGATGGATGGGCGCGGTGAGGAAACGCGGGGCCTGTTGCTGGTGCTGTTGTTGCTGGTGCTGTTGCTGTTGCTGTTGCTGTTGCTGCTGCTGCTGCTGCTGTTGCTGCTGCTGTTGGTGGTGATGGTGGAAAGACGTCATGGCGGCCGCGGCCGTGCAAACCGTGGCCGCGGCAGCGGACATGGGCGAGAAGGCCGAGTGCGAGTCAATGAGCGACGGGTGCGCCATGGCGGGCAACTGGTCGGACGAGCACATCTGAAACAACGCACGTGACGATCGGGCCGTATAGTCTATGATATGGGCCTGGGATTGCTGTTGGTAAAATATAAATTTCATCATGTAATGTATGCATACATAAATATTATAAACGTTAAAAATATTGCAAATATTCGACGCTTTCGGCCGTTTAGACGATATTTACGGGGAGGGGGAGGGGGGAGATGCGGACGGGCGTCGCGAAATGGATTGGCCACTGGCGCGCTGGTGGGAACGCATGTGAAACGCGGTTTGTGTAGGACAGGGAACCATAACACGTTTTAATCAAAAAGCGAACACGCAGAAAACTATTAAAGTCGCGTTCTCCCTCCCAGTATAACAGACATCCGCGGACGGTCCGAAATCCGTGTGAACCCGTAAACGCCTGTCAAAACGTGGTACGACTTCTAAGAGACTTTGAGTCGTGTTCGGTCCTTTGACCGAACCCACTGCAGTAGCGTACGCGCTGGGGCGTTAAGCGTTTCGACATCGCCCTCGTAATTGTTATAGCGTTTCGAGTTCTGTTCTCGGCGTTTCCCAATTACGTATTTGGGTCGTCAACAAGTCTGTCCGTGTTCCGCAACAAAATATAACGCAACGGAATTATTGTCGAGCCGTTTCCGACTATTCGTCGGCCGAGACTGGCGTATAATTTGACATTAAGACGTCGCACCTGTACTGTCTCAGTCCGACTGCCGGGTAACATGCGAAAACAATGCATACGCGGAATAAGTAAAACTAGCTTGAATTTGATTTTAGAGTAAAAGTATTGTGAATTTTTTAGAGAACGATATTCTGGAGAGAATGTAATTGGAGGGTTTTTCGAATTATGAACTATCGAAAAAGTTGCTCGGCCACGATTCTTATACTATTATTATAATGGTGCGGATTATAATGTAAATTTCATTTTTTTTTTCTGGGTGTCCTACCGAACAATTAAAATACGAAACTTTTATTTTGGATTTTTAGAATTTTTTCGACATTTTAAACGCGGTTTTCGGTGTTTAAGGCGTTTTTTTTTTCTTTTTCTCACAAACTCCGTAGTGTTTTCAGAGAATTTGACGTGCGGGAGAGACCGCTATTCACGCGAATACTCTACGAAATATGGCCGCGCGGAGGGACGATCCCCGTAAACGCGCGTTTCCGACACGATCGCACTTGTACAACGCGCACGCATTAACCGCGTATCGTATACGTTGTTATTGTCGTATAGGCGAGTATATTGTGTACGGGGGGTAAAAAAAAAAAAAAAAACCTCAAACGTACATATACCACGCGTATTACGCGAACAGACGACGACAATGCGATACCGCGTGGTTGCGCGTGGTGTACGGCCCGCGGAAGGGAGCCAGCCGAGGGACGTACCCGCGAGTGCTCGAAAAACTCTCGAATAAAACGATTTGTCCGCGCGTATTGTGATTTTCGAGTAGTAGAAAAAAATTATAATAATAATAATAAAAAAATTTGTATCACTGCAACGCGGTAGAATATGACGTGCGTGCGCCTGTACCGCTACTATTATAATATACCCACCCCGTTATACGGCCGTAGGCCTCGTCAATTACCATGTACGCGGTGAAATATTATTTGCCGTCCGTCAACCGGCGGGGCGTTTATTCCAACGGGGTGACCGGGGAGAAGGAGGGGGGGGGGGTAAATTGCCTCCGTCCCGGTCGCAATAATGACGACGATTCCCCCGTTCACCGTTCACTATACCGCAATAACCATAGCCGATCGTCGTCGTCGCCGTCGAAATAAATCTTTTCCCCGAAAACTTCTCTCTGGCTCGGTCGACTCTCCTTCTCCCTCCTTGGATTTTTAAATGTTAACGCACCAACTCGAACCGGCCGGGATTGTACATTTTTCGTCACGCCGCATTACCCAACCGACCGTTTGAGAAACGAGCCTCCAAACAACAGGATGATGCGTACTGCGGCCAATGCCGGTCCGTCATTCCTCTTTTAGGTTGATTTGCTATTTCCGTTTTTAACATTAGTTTTTGGGCTTGACCTAACCTACTAATCGACCTTTACCCGTAACTTAGTCTTAAGCTGATACTGTGTACCGTGATGTATTTTATTATGAAACTTTCGTAAACCGGGCTCCAGCCCGTTATATTAATAAATAATTATGAACGTGATTCGGATGACTGCGGTTAACTCGAACTTGCTAAATTAGTATAGCATTCCCTGGACGGGCACAAGTTATTCCTTCGCTGGATTAAGGACCGATATTTTTTATAACTAAGGTTACAAACTCTTCTACTTTTTGAAGGATGAATTTTCTTACTTATAAATAATTTCTTATCGGCCGTTATATTTTGGAAAAATTACAATTGATTCGCAAAACCGCAATAATGTCACAAATCGTCCGTTGTTTTTCGACTTTATCGGATCATCAATTAGCAGATTATCGGAGCAATTTGTATTACCTCCCCCTCATCCCGCAGAACAACTTATTCTGCCCCCTGAAAACGCATGACATTACTATACGCAAACCACGTGTGTGATACGAGATTGCGAAACGAGTTGTGAGCCGATTATAATAAATCGTGTTGGCAATAAAATAAAGAAAAAAATTTAGGGTTATATAAATAATCGTTTATATTTAACACGCTACAGAAAAAAAAAAAAATCATCGTCGAGCCTATTTTCTTAATTGTTTCCCCGGGTGTAAACGTTCCTAGATCCGGCTCTGTCTTTGGCACACCTAACCTAACCTTGGATATTGACGATACCGCTCCGGGGATGAAGGTCTGAAACACGTTTACTCGTCTATCAGTGGCGTGGCGTGATGTGGTCAGTGGCGTGAGCAACCGCAAAAAAATAAATAATATAACTGTTATTTTATTATTGCCTGTTGCGAGCAGTGGCGAACACACATCTTGTTCTCGGGGGGGGGGGAGGGGAGAGCGGCGCGTTAGAGAAATCGGGAAAATTGTTTTCTATAATAATCAGTAAAATACATACGGGTACAGGTAATCGATCATACAATAGTAGCGCAGTGAAATGTGCGAATTGACGACGCAATAACATCGTGACGGCCGTCGGGAGTACGGAAGGTGGGCATTAATGACAACAAGAATACATGTCGAAAACGAGTCACGATCAAACATCGCGTACGTCGCCCCGCGCCGGCGACGGGCGTTAAGAGCAAGACGGGCCGGGCATAGCGGGCAACGTTGTCTGCCCGTCGTAACGCGTTACGCGTTCGATTAATTCCGGTAAAACGGGGTGTAGTTCGACCCGCGTCCGGGCGACCGTTCCGTCGCGGTGCCACGACGATTCTCAGAGCGGGGCGGCGAACGGGTGTAATTGTTAAACAGGTCGCGCGTCCGACAGCCGCGCGCGCTCCATCGGTCGACGGCGGCAGGCAGGCGTAGCCGAACACCGCGCGCTTACACCGGGGTGAAACTGTAACGCCAATATTGTAACGCACAATATTTGTATAGCAATAATTGTATAATACATTGTTGTACGAATACATTGTCCGTCCAATTGAAAAACAATAACAAAGTTGGGCACGTTTTAATGTATCGGCAATACGTCATTTATATCGCGTTTAATATTGGGAACGCCTGTTTAAATGTTGGGAAGAATTTTCCAAGGGACGATTAAACACGTCGCCCAACTAGGTGTCTATCGTACTGTTATTCTATTGACGACAACTATTATTTATTACCTATTTACGTATTTATTATACGCTCATTCTGCTCTCTGCTGACCTGCTGCTGCACGAACGATAGAATAAACCGAAATAACCGATAAACAAAAAAAAAAAATAATAATAATATGGGGGGAGGTGGCGGGAAAGGGAAACGTGCCCCCTCCCCCTGGCACCGATCTCCGCTCATCAGAGGCGGTCAAAGTCCCCGTTCCGCGGTATCGAAATGTCACTGTACAGTACGCATAATGCAATATTTCGAAACTGACTTGATAACTTATAGGTACAGCCGTAAAGTCAACTCTTCGCCGGTTTGGTGCGTAGTCGAAGTGGACGGGAATTCGGGTGAATTTTAGGGTTAGGATAAACAGGGCATCAATGCCCGGCGGCGTCTGACACGAGATTCCGGTTTATTTTGCGTTTTTCGGATTTTCGTATTCAACGGTGTTTTATAAACACGATTTTGCGGTTCTCGGCACGTTAGAAAAAAAACGTCTCCGAAACGTACTTGATTATAAGTTTGTACGGATAGGGATGTTGAAAAGCTGTGTGGTGAAAGACATTATTGCGGCCGAAACACGGCCGCAGGGATGTTAAATGGAACACGATTAGTGACGTTACATTGTGTTCCGAAAGAACACGACTTGGCAACAATTCTGAGGCAAATAATCGCACAGCGGGTACCACGGATTAAATTCGTTCATTTAAAAATATACCTGTAAAACATTTTACAACTGGAAAAAGTGTATGAGCAACGCTTACACCGGTTACACGCACGCCACTGCCCGTCTTCGGTTATACCGCGGTTATCTGTTCGTGAAATGCCGTACGGAAGACAAAACTTTCCGACGATATCGACCGTGATCGAGCAGCACACAAACTGTTCGCCGAAAACCGCGCAGCCGAAAAATAATGTAAAATTACGTGTTCGGTTTGCTTACCATGAGTTCGATCGCGTGTAGAACGTCGCCGTTGCATCTCTGTAAAACGTTTTCGATGTCCACGCGCCTCTTGTACGGGAAAACGCGCCTGAGCACGTCGACGGCCGACCGTCCGGCGGAATTGGCCCCGGCCGCGGCGGCCGCCGCCGCGCTCGTCTCCAGAAAGCTGGAAAAACTGGGATAGTTGGACGGCATCCGGGACCGTTCGGGTTCAATCGGCGAACTGGAGTCCCGTCGTTTGGGCAGCGACAGGTTTTCGGGCGCGGCTTCGTTGCTGCTCTCGTTGCTTTCCGCCTGCGCGACAATATTTTTGACATTATGGATTTGGCCGAACGGCGTAATACGCCGGGCGATCTATTTAAGCGGGCACACACTCATTATCCCGGAACGTATTACGTTTTTCCGGAATATTTAAAAAACAAACTGCACTACGATTTCGTATTTGCGTTATTTTTTTGTCACCCTTATTTTGAGTGGCGGCGCGTCGTCGACACGCCGCGCGAATGACACTCCACTACTCACCTCCGACCCGAACTTAAAAGTGCAATATCTCGTCGACGGATCGACGGAAATCAAAAACGTCAACACCAAAATCTGTTTCAAACTAATATTCCGTTTATTTACGGGACTTTTGAATACAGGCTGACGTTTGAAAATCAAAAGTAAGCAGTGGTTTTACGCCGAAAAATATCGTTAATTTTAAAACTGTAGGGCGGCCTGTTTCTTAAATATTCTAGAAAACAAATTCAGGGGAAAGTCGATATTTTCCGAGATAACGAGTGTTCGCCCGCTTAAATGGGATCATCCGGTATAATTTAATTTATACAGGGTATATATCCTACAGCGCTATCCTTATGCTAGCTAAAATAACTCCGTAAATGTTCATTTTTTTTCTTTTTCTGTTCAATCGGGTTTTGCGCGGCGGGCAGGACGCACAGTGTGCAGAGACACGTTTTATTTTTATTTTCGTCTCTTAATCGCCGGAGAAACAAAAAACGACTTTTTAAAAATTGCAAAATAGCCATTTTGTAAAACGTGTTAACGTTCGCGTTCGGCCAAATAGTTGTTCTTAGTTACAGTGGTCGTAATGCATAGAAAATAGACTTGAAAAAGTATTCAACAGAAGATCAGGAATTAGGATTGTGACCACTAATCGCGTAACGCGTTATTGAAAGTCGATATATCGTTCTCACGACAATTTTCTAGAAATTAAAACGGCTATTACCGTGGAACTATACGTATATTTCAACGGACGTGTGACATGCATGTCACGTTAGAAATGTTTAGAACGATATCTTTTGCGAAATGGCCGTTTTTTTGGAAATTTTGAAAAGCGAGAAAATAAACAGTTAATACTTTTATTTTTTTCAATTAATAAGGGACGAAAATAAAGACTTTAATCTTTTCCTCTGCGAACGTGTCTCCCTCCTATCGCACGTAAAACCCGATTGGCAAAAAAAAAAGAAAAGAAAACATAATAACAAATAACGCCGTAGGACAATCTGGCTGTACTTGCGGTATTTGAAAAAAAAAAACATTTAAAACCACGTTGAATCGATACCGGATAATGTGTCAATATTAAAGCGGATATTTATACGCCTTAAAATAACCTTCGAATATAATACACCACAGTGTGTCCCGCCGCGTTCGACGGATTTTTCTAGAGCCGTTAATATTCTAATTTTTTTTTTTTTCTTATCTCTAACAGGCGTTTCTTATCGTTCATATCCGACGAATAGTCTCTTAATAACGGCCGTTTTAAATTCTGGAAAAAAGCGTGAAAACAATTGACGTTCAATAATAATCACGACCGCCGCACGGTAATTATTCCTTATCGCAACAGTAGTCTATTGAATAGAATAATTGTTTTCGCATTTATTTTCTAGAAATTAAAACGGACATTACTACGAAACTGCATCCAAACGGATACGAGTGTACGTTACGTTCAATTTTTTAAGAACAATATCTCCTAAAAAATGGCCGATTTTTGAAAATTTTGTAAAGTGAACACACGACGTTATTTCTTTCGTGTACTCGGGGCGTGAAAATGAAAAATTTAATATTTTCCAGAATCCATGCGCCTCTCCCTCCCCCCAACGAAGACAAACCGATCGAAAAATATTCAATATCAACAGCTCTGGGAAAACCCGTCGAACATGGTGGGACGCGTCGTTTTGTATTATGCGTACAGATTCGCATTGAAACTACCGAAATAGGCTCTTGCGAACGTACGACACGGACAATTTGCGTTCGGAAAGTAACAACTCCGTTTTAAATATTTATAATTTTCAAACGTGATATACGAGCGCTGTTTAACTGGGATAATTCGCACGCTCGTATCGCTGTTGGAAATTAAAATGTCGAAAAATTATCGCCAGCGTGGCGCAGATTGTGTTCTTATTATCTTATCTTAAGTTTGATACGCTCTAATATATATACACACACACAACAGTTGTGCAAAGTTAACGTATCAAAACCGCGAAATTTGCCGTGTCGTGCGTTTCGAGTTGAACGTATTTTTGAAAACGCGCGAAATCCCGGAGGACGCGTCTTGAAAATCCCGAAACTCCCGGAAACGTGCAAAACAAAATAACCGGACTGACGATCACCGTCCGCCCGACGGACGAAAACGGATGCGTGTCGGCAAGAACGCGCGCGCGCGCGCGTGTTCAAGCCGACCGAATCGCGTTGAACGTACAAACGGTAGGAGGGGGCGGGAGGGGGCTTTGGTGAGAAACGCCAAAAAAAAGGCAAATCGATTCAACTCGACTCGAGTGGTTTTTTTTTTTTTTTACTTTTTTCTTTAACCGCGCGCCGCCGATGGCACGGAAAACAGCCGGACGTCGTTGCCGCGCGGCCGAAACACCGGCACGCGTATAGTAATAATGCGACTTACCTCCGATCTCGTGGGACTGTTAAATTTGGCGGCAAACTGTGTGGACGTCACCTGGGTCGGGGCGTTCGGCGACACGCTGGACGAGCGGCTCCGCGTGTTCGGATCTTGTGTGCCGATCGAGTTTTGTTCGCGTTTCGCCGCGATTGGTTCTTCCGAGCTGAGCCGCGCTCTTTTTTCGTCTGAAATCGGACCGACAGACAACACGCGGTTAACATATTTGTTTATACATTACACGCACGGGGGTTTATCCCGCCGAATTCCGTTTTACAAATCGATTTCAATTTCAATTTGTGTCTCGCGTGACGAACACGCGATACGCCAAGCCCGATTGATAATACCGAGCCAACGCGTCTACGAAACGTTTTAAAAACTGCTGTTTACAGAAGTTTTTCAAATACGTGCACACACCCGTAGGTACGTGTGTCAACGGAATATTTTCGTGTTGTAAATACACGCACGGCGGAACCCCGGTAAGTCGAAATCCAACGGAAATGGAATCTGTTCGGCTCGCCGAGGTTTTAGGAAAAAAAATTTAAACTTAAAGAGTGTTTAAAGAAAGGTACGCGCGTATGTATTAAAATGTTTACATTTATTATACAGGATAATATATTGTGTGCACACAATTACAGCGTGTTGCTGTTATTATTATATTAAAATTGGCCAATAAAAATCCCTTCACATTCCCTGAGAATCGGCTACGCGATAATAATAAACGCTGAATTCGGTTTTAAAAAAGACGGACATACTTCGCACGTGGGCGCAGCCGCTTTCGTGGGCGGGAAGTCGGGAATGTGGGATACGGGGAGGGAATTTCGCGTACACCGGTAAGCAACGATAAACCATTGCTGACGGAAAAACGATTCTGGGCGGAGTGTTGCTTTGTCCTACAATATACGTATATGTCATATTGCGGGAAAATAATGAAATAGGCGAGACATACGGATCTTCATAATACAGAGATTAACAGTTAAAAGAATGTATTACGGTCGAAAATTATTTGAATACAGTTGGGTATTGCTTTTTCAACAATAAGCGTTTCAATGGCACCGATGATTGTTTGAAAAAAATATTAAAATTATGAACACACTTAATAATAACAAAAACAACAAATAAAAACGGTCGTCAACGACAACCGTGTTTTCAATCTTTCAATACTTTTTAACCTAAAGAACAATGTTTTCCTCGTTGCCTCGAATGTCAATGAGAATTTCTAAAAATGACCCCTCTAAAGTACCGCCCAGAGAACATTTCCATTCAGATAAGACGCTATGCTCGACAACCGGAGTAGGCTTTCTGGTAGAAGTGTTTACGCGAAAAAAAAATGTTTAAAAATTAACGTCATTCCCCTCGACCCGCTCGGAATCTAAAATCCCGACAAAAGATGCGATTAAATGGTCAATATGAATGAAAAACCGCGTATATAGTGTTGGGAGATTCACAATAGACAATATCTGTTATCTTACTTCGCTTTAGAATTTGAGTGGAGCACGTGCTATTATCAATAGTATTCTCAACTATATGTAGTGCGGAGTACACCCGATCGTCCGCATTACTCGATTGTTCGGCGAATGTCCTTAGCAACGTGAGTGCTGCTTTTGCTTGTTTCATCGTAACGCGCTCAGACGACGCTTCGCGAATGCCGGCGACGGCGACGTCTTCGTCGATTTTAACGAAATCGTCGAACGTTTCTACCGCCGTTCCGTAACGGTCTGCTATCAGAGCCCATTCCCTGTCGTCCGCGACGGCATTCTCCATTGTGGGCATCGGCGTGCCGTCTTCCACGGCGTCAAACATAAACCCGCACGATCTAAAGCAGTTCACGATTGTTGACGCCGTCACGTTCCTCCACGTTTTATCAATAATGCGCATTGCTTGGAGAATATCGATTACAGTAGATCTGTCGTCGTCCGTATCGCTGATAATTGTCCTCACTATTTCCTTCCTGTAGAGCGTCTTGAACGTTCCGATAATCCCGTGGCCCAGCGGATGCGATTTCGAAGTGGCGTTTGGCGGCAGAAACTTCACTTTCACGGCTTGACAACTCGGTATGGCATCGTGAACGGGACGATTGTCTATAAACAGTAAAATGTTGCGCTTTTGCTGTTTCATCTGATTGTCGATTCGTAGCAGCCATTCCGCAAACAATTCGCTAGTCATAAATGCCTTCCTGTTCGCCTTGTACTCGACGGGAAACGATTTGACACCAGCCAAGCACTTGGGTTTCTTCCTGTTTCCGATCATTAAGGGTTTCAATTTATCTGTACCAGTCATGTTGACGGCCAATAACAGCGTGAGCCGTTGTTTGCTAAGCTCGCCGCCGCTACACTTCTCGCCTTTGAACTCTGACGTTTTATCCGGCATGCATTTGTAAAAGAGTGCAGTTTCGTCCGCGTTGAACACGTCGCATGGTTTGTATCCTTCCAGTAGCTCACTTAAATTTACTTTCCGTTCATTTACAACGGCATCACTGACAGCTGCACTTTCACCGCACGCTTTACTAAAAGCAATATCGTGCCGTTTTTTCAAACGGTCAAGCCACCCGTTGCCGGCTTTAAACCGTTTGTGGCCCAAGGATTTTGCGAAATGTTCAGCTTTTTCCTTTAAAGTAGCGCCTCCGATACTGACATCGGCATCTCTGCATTGCTTGAACCACTTGACTACACATTCTTCCACGTCTGAAAAACCAGGGCCCCGCTTCCTCTTCCGGTACGTCGGAAAGTCCGAATCGATTTCCCTGCCGTGCTTGATTATGGTGGTCAGTGTGCTCGACGCCAATCCAAATTCGTCGGCCACATCCTTTTTCGTCCGTCCGCTTTTCACTGCATCGAGGACCATTTGTTTTTCTCCGGGTGTGAGTGTTTTCAACTTGCGAGGCGTTTTCGCGTTCATCGCTACACGTACGGCGGCGCGCAAACACGACGACTTAACCGCACGGTCGCAACTGACAATAGCCGCGCGCAGTGACAATAAACCGAATGTGAAAACCGCGTCGGCCAACGCGACAAATACGATAACAAAACGCAATAAACGCGATCAGGTTAAATAATTATCGGAACGCGCAAACCGATTAGACAAACGATTATAGATCGATAAACGATACACAAATGATTATACTCGGCATTGTCCGTGCATCGTTCGCGGAATATTCGAGGTGATCCGTAGCGCGGGAAAAAACGCAAATATACCGGGAAAATGTACGAAAATAATTCCGTTATCGTTTTCAGACTTCGATGTTCGGGATAATTCCGTTGAAAGCGCGCGCGTACGAGTCGCGAACGGAATTCACGTGTCCGTTCGCTTTTTCTAGACCGCGGCACAATGAAATTTTAACGAGACCCGTACGTATTACGGCCTGTTAATACGTCGCGTACGACCGAACTCCGGTGCTCGGAACCGTCTTTCGTGGTTAACCGTTGCGCACAACCGGCATACATCAAATCCCACCGCCGCCGCCGCCTCCCCCCACCCCATCCCACCGACCCGTGAACCACCTTGCCGACTTCTCACCCGCCCGCCGTGCGAAGTTTGTCCGTCCTTTTTTCGCATCCGGATCACGGCCGGTCGAGGCGTGGACAACCGACAGCGTTTCAAACAACCGAACGCGACGTTTGTCGGCCGTTTTTCCGCGTGCGTGCGCAATGCGTCGCGGCGTACGCCGGGAAACTGACATGCCGACTGCGCCGCTGGATGCGAGGGTGGTGTCGCCGAAAAATTAGAAAAAACAAACCGAATCGACAAACCCGCGGACTCGCGTTTCGGAGAAAATCCAACGTCAACCCGACAACTCAACCCTTTAGCCGCCGCCGTCGACGTGCGCGACGCAACTACAAACTATGTAATTGTTATTTATCCGTTTCCCAGCCGCCCCCTCCCCCCCCCGGACGGTCGTCTCGCGAACAACGCGCCCGTGCCGGCGCGCGTTCCGATTGTGCGACGCAGGTACGCGGCCCGTACCGTAATGATTCGACCTCTTTCGGGAAAAATAAATAATCGCTCCCGCCCCGCTCCTGCCCCCCTCCACGCCGTACGTTTGAGCGCGGGGCACGCGCACGCGTAATGATCACGCGCAATAACGTCGGCGCGCGGCCGATATAATTACAGACAAACGTCGCGTGTACAATATTATTATTATTATTATTATTATTATTATTATTAATAATATTATTAATGTAATAATAACGATAAAATCGCGCGAATCGATACCGCCAACCGCGCGCCCGGCATCACTCGTTCGGCACGACGTTATAACACAAGTGTGCGACGCGCGTACCGGGCGCAACGGGCGGACGGTAAAAAATCATTCTAATAATAATAAATACCGTATCGTTCCACGCTTGCGAACACACAATAATAATTTACAAGTGTAATATCGCATGCCGCGCGTTATACAATTACGGCGGCGGCGGCGGCGGAGGCCGCGGAGTGAGAGAGAGAAAAAATCGGTTTTTTACAATAATATGTTCGGCGGCGAAGATATATTCGAGTGCGGCGCGCGGTACGATATTTATAGGCTATAAAATGCGGCAATTATTTTTTTACGGCTGAAAAAATAATAACATATTGACGAGGGTGAGCGGGAGAGCGAGCGAGCTGCGGCTTAAAAAAAAACATGCGGATGAGGGGGCGGAGAGAGAGAGAGCAAAAAAAGTCTAGCACGACGGTCGCTCTTAAGCCCGCGACAACCGCCCCTCCGCGTAAAAAAACGTTGTGCGTGCACGCGCGCCGCCTCACCACCACGCGCGGGCGGAGACGGCGAGAGTGCGGAACAACAATCTCCGTTTATAAAAAAAAAAAAAAAATCGCCCGGATTTCGTTATTATCATCGAAACGTTTAAACACGCGCGTAAGCACGTCGTATATACCTAACCCCCCCCCCCCCCCCCCCCCCCCCCCCCCCCNCCCCCCCCCTCCCACTCCCCACGCCCGCGGTTAATCGCGGTTAGGTACACGCGCGCGTAACAATATGATATTTCGCGTATTGTTTTCAGAGATCGCGAAATACCCACACTGATAACGGTAATAACAAGTGATAATAACAATAGTGCGCTCCTCGTATGCGGCGCGCGTGCGTGGCCGTAGTGCACCGGCACGGCACGCCGCCGGCGGATTAAAGGCGCGCCCGGAGTGGACACTCGAGCGCGGTTTACGCGCGGCGTTGCCCCGAAACCGCGCCGCGTAATGCGCAACGAGATAGCGTAACGCGCCCCGGCAACCGCATTCACAAACATCGCAACCGCGCATTGTTATTATATTGAAATAACGATTCGCGTACGGTTTTAACCTTTTTTTTTTTTTTGTTTTTTATGTATATATTTTTCTTTTGTATACCGGATTCCGTACCGGGAAAAGCGTTACCGGACGGTCCCATTCGCGCGCTCGTTGTGCCGGAAAGCGTTTACGTACTTTTCCCGGCATATTTAAGACACCGGTCGCTCCACAGTTTTTGCATTTCCGTTATATTTTGGCGCTTTTTTTTGGGGGGGGGAGGGGGAGAGAGAAACCGCTCACCACATACTTTCGATTTTCAAACGGCGACCTGTACGAAAAAAAATCCCGTAAATAAACGCAGTGTTTTTTAAAATAAATTTTCATTTTTGATTTCCGTCAGAGATATTTCGCTTTCAAGTTCGGGTCGGACGAGGAGAGTAGTGGAGTATCGTTTGTGCGGCAATACGCCGCGCGCCGGTGTTAAATACGCACCACCGCTCTTCTCCGACCTAATCATAAAAGTGGAATATCTCGTCAACGGACTGACGGAAATCAACAATTTCAACACCAACATTTATTTTAACTAATATCTCGTCTATTTGCGGAATGTTTAATACAAGTCGCCATTTGAAAATCAAAAGTAGGAAGTGGTTTTACCCCGGAAAACAAGTGTGACGAAATATAACGGAAATATAAAAATTGTAGAGCGACTCGTTTTTTTAATTATTCTAGAGAACAAATTCCGGAAAAAGTAAATACTTTCCGAGATAACGAGTGTCTTACGACAGATTGATCGTCATGTATGTACCAATTGCGTCCCTATAATAAAAAGAAGGTCAAGTTAAAATACCACAGTACGATAATAAAAAAAAAAGTAAAATAATTCCAGACACGAAGATAGCAGAAGACGGGAAATCGACTAAGGCAATTATCAGCAGAATGGGTCAGGGGAAAAACATATCCCGTAAAAAGAAGAAACTGTTAACACCGGAAAACATATGAACTTGACCGCTAAAAAATATCACTAACATCACAAATATCGATATTTGTGGATAATATCACTGTTTGTAATGTATACATAATTATACAAAAAAGAGGGGGCGGGTAAGTCCATTTAACGTTATGTAGACGTGATACAGTTTTCGAAACATATCCGGACGTTATTTCGGTCAGTTGTAGTTAGCCAGTTTTTTTGCGTTCTGTGTGCAAATTTTTTTAAGAATTTGTTTTTTTTATCGGCCTTATAATATCAAACGTACGTTGAAATTCGTTAAACGCGCGGACAACATTGTCCATTGAAAAACGTGCAGCGACAAATTAAACACAATTTTAAATTTTAAATTTTAATTTATCAAAGCATTGCGTTTAATCAGACTTTGCCAACTAACTGATTTAACTGATCTAAAGTTTTGGCGCTTTATAAATTATTTTTTTTTTATTTTAACGTTTCACAAAACTTCCACATCCGAAATAAAATTATAATATTATACCGTATAACTATCGTCAGTAACATTTTTTTTTACTATATTATTATTTTGTTATTTACGCGTATATTTTTGTGAGTAAAACGCACGATGCTAGACGGTCCGAAAGTATTATTTTTAGTACGGTCTTTCGTCATCATAATATTAAATCGTATATAATTAACTATAAGTTAAAGTTATTGTTTGAAAAAGCGTGCAATAACAGAAAAAAAAAAATAAAATACAAGTACCGTATTATATATTAATATAACGACGTACCTATGTTGGAAGTTTTCGGAGAAAGAGACAAGTTGTTGAATAATTAAAAATAAAAATAAAAAGTGTAACTAGATATAGATAAAATTGTTCGCGTACAACTTTATTATAACGTATACACTTCTTTTTTTGTTTTTGTTTGTTCAGATTTTGCGGCTGTACATCGCGGTTGATAAACAGAATTTCATTGAAATAATAAAATGTCCGTTCGCGAATGTATCGCGCGATCCGCGTGCGCGCGAGCATGTTATTTACGAGTGAAAAGAAAACTTTTCCAAGCAAAGGCCGCGGCGGCGAAGTGTGCGCCCGCCCGTTGAAACTTTGTGAGAGTTATAAAACATCGCGAGCTTATATAATTAGACAAGGCGAAGTAAAAATAATATAACGAACGGTTTCGTAACGGAATGCGTCCGACCTAACCCATTTGCGCCCCCGAGATGACCGATTCTAATTGCAACATGCAGGTTGCGAATAGGCGGGTGCTGTATTCGAGTACACTCCGTGTAATAATTCCCGTACGACAATGTAAATTTGTATAGTATTCATTTTGAAGAGATACAGTGTGTGTGTGCGTGTGTGTTAAAGCGCACGTGTAAATATATATATTTTTAGCTGCGCGGTATATTATAATTATATACAGCCGCACGCACACCCATTAAACTGCGATATTTTTAACCCTAACTAACTGCTCTTTTGGTATGAAAAAAAAAAAAAAAAAAAAACCGTAACGCCACCCTTTGTGTATTCGAACCCCTCAAGGTAATGCTCTCGTATATTATTATATATCGTTTCCTCGTCTTTTGTTTAAACACGTATATACGGTTTTCTCTATCTGTGTCTCTCTGTCTCTCCGAGGCCGCGCAGTGGCGGAAAAAGAAATACGACTATCTCGCGATACATTGGGTATATCATCTAAACGTAATAACAATAATAATAATAATAATAATAATAATAATAATGATAATAATACAACGGCGGGGACCGAGTGGCGCCCGGGGATCTCGAACGATATTATTGTATTGTTTTATCTTCAGCGCAAATTACGGCGATATTATTATTATACGCGGACCGCGTTCCGATTCTTTAAAAGCGATTACGCGCGGCCATATTGTATTTCGTAATATTAATTGCATTACCGCGCTCTTTTTACGGACGCTCCCGCCCTGCCGCCCGCCCGGCGGCCCGGGCGCGTTTAAACTTCTTGCGCCCGCTGTTAAATATTACGATAACATTGTGCGTACGAAACCGCGTCTCCGCGCGGGGTACGCACAATGACGCGCGCGTTATCTGTTCCACAAAAAGTTTAAAGTCGGTCGTTAGGAGGACAGCGTACGCCGTTGTATAAATAATGCGGAGCCGGAGGTTAATTGGTGGCCGCGTTTCGCCCCGCGAGTCGCGCGACCGTTGTTTCGTACACAAAAAAAAAAAAAAAAAAAAAAACGTAATGAAAACGTAATGACCCCTCGGGCGGCGGCCGTCGTCGCGATCGTACGCGCGTACGCATCGCCGCTCGCACGGTGCGTCGTGTGCGCGCCGCGGCTCTTAAATAAGAAACGCGCTTACGGACGAACGTACCGTACACCCGGTACGCATAACGTTTGAACGCGCGTCACACGCGCGCCGGCATACACCGTCTCGCGTGCCCCGGAACATTTCGAAGAGACGATTAGGGGTCGTGCGTCGGCGACGACGTTCGCGATCCTACACGCGAATGTATATATAGTGTATATATATATATATACGCACGATACTTATATTATACAATAACGCAAGGCGATCGGGGTCACCGAAGAATTCTGCGGCAATAAAAGAGGAATTCGGATAATGTTACTTGTGGTGTACGGTATAATATAATATACAGTGCGCGCGCGGTTATTATGTGTATAATATTCGCGTGCCGCGCGTCACGGTCGTAAACCGCAGAGGGGCTGTGCCCGGGTTCCCGTCGCCGTCGTCCCTGCGTACGGCACACCGCTGTGGCGTTACACGCGCAGACGACGCGGTCACGAACCGACGGCGGCGCCGATCGTTTGTACGGACGACTTGCCCGCTCGTCTGTCGCCGCGGAATGGTAACGCGGGATAGCCGGGGCACGCTAATTACGCGCGGCCGACGGCGGGAAATAACAGTCCCGCGGCGGGTACGGCGAAAAGTCGCCGACCGTCCGGGGCGGCCCGCGCAGTTTCGTGACCGATTTGTGTGACCGGCGGTGACCGGCGAAACCGAAACATTTCGCATCCGATTCCGATATTTCGTGGGGAACACGCTCACCGCGGTCGCTCGCAACGAATTCGCCGGTAATGTCGTCGATTTCTTCGGGTTTCGGTGTTGCAGGCGCATTGCTGCGGGACACCGGCCGATGACAATAATTACCCTATTGACGCCCCGCGCGATTTTCTCGGGCCGTCCCGTGCGAATTTCACGGCCGAGGGGCTATTCGGAAACGCTTATGGAAAGCAGGGTGAAGTGTTGACGGTAATATTGTAGATAAGATCGTTGACGATTCCATATTCCGTAACGATCGAATAAAACCAAAATCGAATTTAACTAAACGCGCCGTTTCACGATAACATACTATTACCGGGTAAAAAAAAAAAAAACCGAGAAATAATTACTTTTTCTAAACATCCCTTGTGTCGGATGTTGGGAGTTTTCTCAGATGAATAATAACGTACGCTTTGACGTCACGAAAGCGAAACTATTTTGTACTCCTATAAATAAATGCACACAACCCGAATATTGTTTTCATTATTTACGTTTTAAACTGTCGATGACCGTATACCGTGGTCGGTTGTTGGTGTGTATTATCGTATTTGTTGCTGGAGTCAACTCGATTCATATTCAGCTCGCGAGTTATAACAACAATTTTTAAACGTTGAAAGTACTTCATAACAAGGCTGGGCATTGACGAGTTAATAGGTTTAAAAAGTCAAGTTAATTTAACTTTTTAACTTGATCGATTTTTTTTTTTTCGAATTATTCACTTAACCGTTAACTCGAGGAACGCAAAACATTTGACTTTTGATTGATTAGAGTTAATTTTATATTTAAACGAGTTATATCGATTTCAATTTTTATTTGCGCGCTCACACAAATACATATAAAATTGTCATCAATAATACTATTACTATCCAATATATTATGAACATTTGAAAAAATAAAATAATTGTTATGAACGCCTGTTATTTGTTTACTGTTGTCGCCGGTTGGGGGGTCGTAGGTAGATTATCAGTCCATTACGGCAGGCCAACTACTAATAGACGACATGCATCTATATTTTTATTTTTTTTTTTTTTTCGAATTAACTTAACTCGAGTTAAAAAGTCGAATTCCACTTCTAATTTAACTGAATTGATGGATCATTTCGAATAATTTAGTTTTAATCGAATTTAAATGTAACTCGACCCAACAGAGCTGAAAAAAAAACCTTCATGACTCGCCCGGCATTGCGTCAGAACGCGCGGCGCAATATATCACTATATTGTTTCGCAGGTAACTCCGTGGGCGCCTGCGCCCGACAAACAGCGAACATAACCGAGTTGAAATGATAGTTCAACAAACGGAATTATTATTGCGTGCGGTGGACAATGCACCCGGAAACCGATTCGACGGTGAAATACACGCGACCGGAACAGTAAAATAGTAATATTTATGTCGAATTTACCTGGACTTGACCGGGCGGCGGCTGAAGAGGACGACGACGGCGGCGGATAAATCAAACCGAGTTCTCTGGCCTCGTTTTCCTCTTGGGCTTGTTGCCGTCTCAGTGCTACTTGGGCGGCCATGACCCTCTGTCTTTCCGCTATCAACGTGCATTTCGCACACGCGCAATCTCTCCAGCGGCAGTACCGTTTGTGACCCTGTGTATAAGGCGACGGAAACAATTACAATGGCTGCGGTTATAAATCATACGCATATAGTACCGCGATTGTTTAAGAACAAACGGACGCGGCAGGGTGGCGCACCAATGTGGCGGGGTGAGAAGTTAGGAGAGGGGGTGGAGGGCAAATAATGTAACGTGTATATCCGTGCGCGGCGATTAACCGTCGCAGACGAAAAACGATCCTGAGCGCAGTTCGATTAATAGTGTCGCTTCGTCAACAATATATATATAAACCCATGTCGTATTGTTACGGTCAACGTGTGCGTTGTATATTTTCTTTAATATTTTTTTGTACCGATTTCCCCCGGTTTTTCTCATTTGTTACGAAAACAACTGGGAAAACTGGTACCGCGCCGGTCAGATTTCCGTTCAGAAAAAGTGCTATAAATGAAAATCGGAGCGAAATCGCTGGTAGAAAATTTGTCCGCGAGAAAGAAAAAAAAGCCGTAACATTTGACTAATACATTTCGTATGAAAAAAAAAAATAAAAAATAAAAAATAAAATAATAAATATCATTGTAAAACCAATACGTGTCTCGCTCCGACCAGAATCTAAAAGTGAACATAGCCACCCGAAACTTAAGTACGTGGAATAATAATATAATATAATGTGTACAGCCGTTAATTCGGAGTTCGGTGTATGCGCGTACACGGTGACGCAATGTTAATTTTATTAATATCACGGTATATTGTTGGACTGCTCGGCGTGTAAGTCTTGGCTGTATTGCGCGTGTTGACTACGTTTGTTTCGCTAACAATCAAACAAGCGATGCGAACGTACGTTTTGCAGGGGCGTGCGTGCAGCACGTTCAATAATCGGCGAGCATCGAAACCAGCGACAGTGTGCCTAATATTACGATTGCGGTTCAACGGCGTAACGTAGTCCGCTGAAAACGTGTAGACGGTGCAGTTGTATGCGGTTATTTACGCGGCGGTACACGCGTAGTGAGAGCGCCCGGAGAATTTTATCGAATATTGCAACCGTACACACGTACTATTGCGCGTATCGCCCGTGGCCGCGTGCTCGTGACGGTTTCACGTTATTGCCGGCATGATAACCGATGTCTGAACACGGCATGTTTATCGCGCGATATCTCAAACCCAAGGACGCGCCAGTTTTTAAACAATTAGTGTCGCCGGCACCGGACCCCGCGTACTGTTCCGCCGTTCGCGAACATTTAAATTAAACGTTTTAAATCCATTACGCCTGAACAACGTGACAATATGAGTAGGACGTAAATGTACACGTCTCGGTAAAAGTACGCACAAGTAAACTTTCAAAAAAAATACAAAATACAAAATACAAAATACAAAATACAAAATAATGCCATTTTAAACACGATATTTGTGTAAATTAATTTTTATAAATCGTATAAATTGACGTTTTATGTAAAACGTGCATTGATTCAATGAACTTAACAAGTTAAAAGCGGTAATTTGAAACGGATGAAAAAGCTACTGTGCGCCGTCGTCACCCATCGGTGTCAACTGAATATAAATTACCAATAAGAGAAAAAAAAATTACGTGGTTCTTTGTTTTTCGTAACTATTGTTACTGTTCACTTTTGTGTTTTGAATAAGTTTATTATGACATAACAAAAGTTATAATTTATATATTGTAATATAAGTAATTAGTGCGGTTGCTAATGCGTATTATACGTAATTCCATTCAGTTGAAATAAATCTTTAATAGCGATTTTTAATAGAAATTTTTATAATAATATTAAATTAGTATTAACTGTGTAACATTATTATTGTGTTATAAAATATTAATTTACAATTACTAATCAAATAACTTTTAAAACAATATTTTATACCGAATGATAGCGACTATTATACACCCACATTCTTCGATTATATTACACTAAATCGCGTTTAAGTGAACATTTTGTAAACCGATTAAATATATTTGTTGACTCGTTAAAATGGAATAAAAATTAGATTTTATTAATTGACCGTGCGACGAACAGACGAACTAAACTGACAAGCGGATAGGGTTTTAGCTGTTCGGACGGTCGGTTAAGTTTCAAAAAAGCGTTTAAAATAATTTAGGTACTATGCTCACTTGATAAACTTATTTTTAAACGTTTTTAATTTTGAAACGGTTTAACGTTTTTTTTTTTTTTTTCTATTTTTTTTTTAAGCGGTTTTAACATTTATGTCAAGGGTGAGTTTTAGTTTCAAAACGATTCAAAATCAAACCGTGTTTAATGTCGTCGTCGCCATCGTATAAAAACGTTTATTTTCGGATCGTTCGGCTAGCCAATTCGAGGATAAAAACCGCGGTTTTGTTGAAGTAAAGTGACAAAATCAATCTGTATATTTTAATAAATTGCATAACGGTGGACAATCAATTTGAAAATTTTTTTTTTCTAAAACTACTCCATGGAATATATAAAACAAATTTAATTCGGGTGGCCGAATATTGTTAACCGGACTTTACTGAATTATGCTCAAAATTTTGGAAATTGGTTTGAAATATATAAACACCGCGGTGGGTATTATTAACGAATTACTACTTAGCAAAAAAAAAGAGGGAATGGGTGCAGAGCCATTGTTGCAGGTGGAAAGTTGAGAAGGTAGAATTCATAAGGTTATTTAATTTATGTCTGTATAAAAACCGCTGATGAGCCATTGCTAACTTAAATAGTTAAATTATTTACTTAACGTTAAATAGTAATTATTGGTGGAAGTAAAAAATTGTGTGTATAGTCTTTAGTAATCTGAGTGGCTGACGAGGCCCCTGGATGCAGCCATCGGGCACATGTTGAAATTTTAAAATTTCCCAATAGAGACGGAAAATTCCTTAAGCACCTAGAGTTTTATAATTTGTTCGTGACCGGATTGAAACGTATAGACGATATCTAACTCCTATAGCATATTAGTTATTAAAATGCCATTTGTTTTACACATTTTTTCGTGGATATTAAGTACTTTCGTCTTTCTTGAACAATTTGAAAATCGTGTGCCCTTTCTGCATTTAGCGATTTGTACATTTTGCGTTGGAGACGTCCGAACTACTTATGGAAAATATACATTTTTTTTTTTTTTTTTTATAATAAATAAATATCAACACGTCCACCGTATAGACCCACATTATTAGAATATGCATCCTCACGGTTATATACAATCCAAAGTCCCAAACTAATCTAATAATATTGCGTTATTAAAATACACGTATGATTTGATATGCGTGTACAGGTTATAATACATCAGATACCGCTTAGCCTGCATTTGCCCGCCCACCCGCTCGGCGTCACAGTTTAAATATTCGTAGCGAAAAAACGAAGAAAAAAAAAAAAAATTCACCGTAAAAATACGCATTCGGAAACGGCGATTTACCTAGTCGACAAACAACATTTGAATCCACGAAAACGTAAACGTCGTCAGTGTAATACACTTATGTTACGACAAAACTACATGATCGTATATAATGGCGACAAAGTGTACAACGACAATAACGGCACGCAGAGGGCAGAGGGGAGGCTGAATAGGCTGCAGCCCAGGGGCCTCCGTAGTTTCGTAAATATTTAACGGTTATTGATACGCACAAAAAAAAAAAAATAATATATTTATATATTTATTAAATTTTAAAATATATAAAATACGGAAATTTCTATTTCAAGTCGAATTTTCTTTAAACAAACATTAAAGTTTTTTTTTTTTGGGGTGGTGGGGAGGAGGAGGTCGTATTTTATCTATTATTGTAGTAACGCGCTATGAAATACGAGGTCAAATAAACGAGCGGTGTTCTAAACGCGAGACAAGAAAGGTTTACGTGCTGTCCGCAAACGCCATCAATATCTTATCAATAGTATTGAATGCCTTCAAACTGAGTGACGTTTATCTAAATACACACAAACGGGCTGGCATCGGGAACACGGGGGTAAACGACGGACGACGAATTAAACTATATTATAATGTCCAGGCGATTTATATTTATAAACTCCGTGCGTCACGTTTTACCCGATTTAAATGTTTTTTTTTATATTCGATTTACTAAGTAACCTAACAGAAAATCAACAAAATATTTATCAACCCGTTTATTTATTTTGGGCTCCCGCAATAAATTCCACCCGCGGAACACCACGTAATCAGTGTTGAATCCAAGTATATGACCGGGGGTAGCCCCACCCCTGGAATTTCGTTCACCTCCCCCCATGTTAAATGTGGACGAATTAATTAAATAATAAACCAATTTTGACATTTTGACTAAGAGAGCGGATAAAAAAAAAAAAAAAAAAATCATTAATCTTTACTATAATTTTTATTAATGCCTCCTCCCCCCGAACAAATTGTCTGGATTCAACCCCGCGCCGTAATATCTAAATCCGCCCGTGACGGCACGGATGTCGTTGTCGCATATCACTCGATTTCTAAACCAGTGTTCTAACTCAGATTCCATAAGGAGTATAGTTATACGGGATTGGTGTCCAGATGAACTTGTCCGTTGACGTATACCGATAATCTAAGTAAATGTTTAGACTTTGGCAAAAATATACAACTTAATATTTAGGTTTGCATTCTGGATCGAAATAGTGAATCGGGATTCGGGAATTCAACTAAAATCATCTTCGTCTACGTGTACATCATAATATTTTACAATATTATCGCGATGCAGTTGAGCAGTAGGTAACGGCGTTAACCCACGTCGCGAACTGCAGTATTTAATGATTGATAACTCACGCGCGAGTTAAACAAAAAAAACGTTTTTGGATTTGCGATACTCATTAAATACTATTCTAAACGAATTGACAACTAATAAAAAAATAATAACAATAATATAAATCGTCGTTAGGTATTTTCGAGCCGGCTGTGTTTGTACCGCCGATGAAAATCCGGAGCTTGGGTTCAAAAAGGGCCAATGGTCACATTCTGGTGAAAACGCGTTGTACGGCCATTCGTATAAAATTCGACGCGCTTTTTCCACGGGGGCGCGCATCTCAATAATCATCACCGTGAAGATTTGAGAAGACCAAAATTAAGTGGTCGGATAAATTACTAACGCAACATTGTCGAAAAGGGCCCGGAAACGGTGTTTTGTTCTTGGTTTCGCGAGATCGATTGAAAAGTGAGCCCTTTTCGACCCGAGCCACCCGGAAATATGAATTAATAAAATATAAAATCTCCGGGATCGACTATTATCGTCTCGTTCCGGACCGCGCTACGTACGGAATCCCCGGTTAACGGAACGCCGGCCGTGAACGCGTACGGTAAACAATGGTGTAATACCAAAATAGATAATAGGTTTCACGACGACGGCAATCTTAATGACTATAAATAAACAAACTGCGCTCGATTCAAACGGCGACTCACCTTCAGGGCGGACACGACCCCGTGGTTCCTGCACCGGGCGCACTTGGGCGTCCGCTGGTACCGTTCGGACGCGCGCTGCAAGAAGAACGCGGGCGACAGGCCTCCGAGTACGGCGGGATGCTGCGACATGAGAGCAGCTGTCATGTCCACACCGCTGGGCAAACTCATCGTAACTGCCGGGCGCGCCTCGACGTACGCGTACACCGGACGGCGAGTGTCTTCTCTCTCCGGCGCGGCGCGGAGCTAGCGTCCCGCGGCCGCGGCCGCCCGCCGACGGGGCGGCTGCGGCGGCGGCGGCGGGGCGAGGGAGGTGCGGCCCGCGGCCGATTCCGAGCTCCGCCCAACGCCGCCGCCGCCGCCGCCGGATCCCGCCCCGTGCCGCGCCGGCACGCGCATTATGTGCCCGCGCGTATATATCATATTATTATTATTATTATTGTATTTTATATAATATGCGCGCGCGCGTATATATATATATATATATATATATTATGTATAATACGGTACCTATATACAATTTATAATAATAATATAATGTATTATATTATTATACTGTACAATATAATGCGCGTATACCTAATGTTATTGCGATATTCGCGCGTTCGTTTGTGCGTTTCGCAAAACAATAACGCCCGCCGCCACCGCCGCCGCCGCCGCCGCCGTTCTACGCGCGCCGGCAATATAATATTGTACACCAGGAGGTACGTGTATAATACTATGTATATTGTGTAAATACTATACACACTCGTATTATACATTATGCACAATCGTTTTCAGGTGACCGTATACAATATACAATATTATACTGTCGTACATGTTGCAGGGCCTCGGGGGGGGGGGATCACGTCGAATCGCCGACCGCGTTTACCCGGCCAAACTCCACCCAGAACCCCCACCCACCGCGCCCGTGCGAATACAATATCAAGCGTTCCCCACCTCCCGCCCGCGACGTACGACTCAACTACGGGCTCGGCGAACGGCTACGGTACGCTACACTGCGCGTAATATTATTATTATAATTTATAATGCCCGGAACATCGCGCGACGAGGCGTCCGACCGTGTTCCGGAATGTTGATTTAGCCGCGCGGAAACGCCGCATTGTTTGATGTCGCCGACCACAATATTATTGTCCGTCGCGAATTCCGAATTCGACGAGCCGCGATTCGATATTATCATTACCGAGCGCGAAACAAAGATTCGCAACTGGTTCCCGCGTGCGGGCAGAGGCGACGGCGGTTAGCGACGGGGAGACGGATTGTCACGCTCGTCATTGTTTTAATGCAAAGTGGTCTTGGAAATCCGACGGAGACGCTTGGGTTATCGTGTCACTGCAGTGGTATTTTTAACGCGATTCTAATTAAAACGCGGATTAGTTTTATTAAAAAACGATTTCTTTATCGTATTTTACTTATTTTTACTGAGCAGACACACCGGGTGAACCGTTCAAGTGGAGGAGCATCAGTTGTACGGCTATACGGGCGCGCGGCGTGTTAATAATGCACCGCTACTCTTATCCATCCCATACTTAATAGTGGGATATGCCGTCAATGGACCGACGGAAATCAAAAATGTCAACGTTAAAATGTACTTTGACTAATACCTCGTCTATTTACGGAATTTTTAATACGGGTTTCTATTCGAAAGTCAAAATTAGATACCTCTAGTGATTTTACCGTCAAAAATAAGGATGACAAAAAATAATGTAAATATAAAGTGGTAGAACTACTGGTTTCTTAAATGTTCTTGAAAACAAATTCCGAAAAAAGTTAATACATTCCGAGATAATAGGTGTACCCACTTAAATGGATCATCCGGTGTATGAAGAATAATGTTTTTTTTTTTTTTTTGTAAGACGAGTGGGTGCAGTTTATTTTTAAATTATATTAGCATACAATTTGTACAAAACAAAATTTGTACGAAGAATATTTCGGAGTTTATGTCTCCATGGTGTGATTGGTTTCTTGAATGTTTAGTTGGCTTTAGTTAGTTCTCGGGAACGTCTCAGTTTTTGGAAAATTATTTTCTAACATTCTAATTATTGTTATAAGTATTTTTTAAACAACTCGTGAATAAGTGTTTTTGATAAAAAAAAATAAATCTATTAAAATAACGACTAGGTTATCTAGAACACGGGCTGCACGAAAATAATTAGTATTACCAGTTTAATAGATAACACAAATTCCATATGATTGCTCAGTGAAAATTGTATCACCTCCCCCCCTCCCCCGTATGACCGGCCCTGCTTATGCATATCGAAATTTCTATATTTCCAATTTTCCCTCACCAAAATGTATTCCCAATCCGCTCCTGCCTAATATCACTGCGGGCCTTTCTCTTACCCGTTTTTTTTGTAGTATGGTTGTCAGAAATCTGTCCGAGTGTAACAACGCAAATTGTTAATTTTTTTTTTTATTTTTAATTTAAACCGGTCCTTACCGGTAACTGGTTTATGTTATTATTGTATCTGCGGTGTTGTATTTGAGGGGCGAGTGATCGATCGCCGATCGCATTTTTAATCACGGCCATAGCCTATTGGTAATAAAACAATGTAGTATTTATACCCGCGATATTTATTATTTCTTGGGTGTTTTCGGGTCACTAAAAAGTAGCGATAATGATATAGGGCAATATTTGTCTACAACACATAGGGATAACGGTGCGGATGCCCGAGCAGTAGTCATAAATGGGTTGGCCAGGGAAAATAAAAAAAAATATCAATATTGTATCAAAATTATTGTAAATATTTTTTTATACATTTTGTATACAATTGTTCAATATGAATCTATATATGCATATACAGGTACCCCACGAAAATATACCCCGTTGCAACATCATCAGAGAGAATAAAAATAATCAAATTCTGTTTTAGATTCCGAGTGAGGAACGTATTGGTCTTACAATGATGTTGAAATTTTATTTTTTTCAGCGAACAAGTTTTCTACCACCAATTTTGCTCCCATTTACAATGATAGTACTTTTCTAAAAGCAAATCTGATTGGGGAGGTACTCTAGGGAGGTTGGGTACAATATTAAACGAATATTACTAAAGAAAATGTTTGATATGCGTATGCAATTATTTTTCCAAAATATGAAACATATATTGTTGACAAAGCAACTCCGTTCAGGATCGTTTTTTCGTTAGCAATGGTTAATCGTCACGTTTAGATATAGGTACATTAAATTCCCGTCTTTATTCTACCTTCCCAACGTCCCGCCTACAATAGTGGCTGCAGCCGTCCCCATTATCCTAATACAGCTTTATTTTTTTCACATTACTCGCACGGATAAAGACTACAAATACGTATGTTTCAATTAATTTTTTAAGTTTTGATAAAAAAAAACTTAAAAAAAATAATTTTTCATTTTATTATTTTTGAAAAAATCGGAGTTAGCTGTTCTATCGAGTTTATTATTAATATCAGAGAAAAGTACCCATAATTATGCGGCAGACTGAAATCGCGTACGATAATAGATTGTTACATGATGGCTAATTGGCTGTACACTTTTTTCTCTGAACTTTAAAAATTTATCAAAAATCACGTATTGAACGAAAACAGAACGTTGATGCATCAGCGTTTTAATATTTAAACGTCAGTTTATCACAGTGGGTGATTTTGTTCGAGCAGACGACCGACGGACCCACTTAATATTTATATCACATTATAATGGTTACGTATTATTTCGAAAAATTAAATTTTTTGATTAATTTTTCTTGTTGCCCATTTATCGCTACGGATCTTTAAATCACGGTTTGAAATCGAAACAATGTAGATTTTAAATTTGACTATGGTGGTAGGGGGCAGCTGTACGATAATGGTAAATGGTCTTTTCGAACAAGTACCGTAGATTTGGGCCACGGACAAAGACGGGATACGAAATATCTGTACATATGGAATACACCGTGTACGAAAATCGAGTACAATTTTCCAAGCATTATTTCACTTACTAACCAAACCGTGCGAATAAAAATTGAACTCGTAACAAAAATTACGGACGCGCTGTTTGTTTATCGTATCTATTTCCAAGAAAACGAAATGTCAGGTTTATGGTTATAACTAATAACCCGCCGGTTAACAATATACAGGGTGTTTGACGGCGGTTCGACGAATGCGATAACTTTCATTCCGTTCAATATTATGCAATTTTTTTGTTGTTGTTGTAACAGAAAAAGAAAAAGTTTGTCAATCGGTTTGCAGAAAAAAAAAGAAAATCGAAAAATCGATTTTATATTGTAATTTAGTATCTATTTATTAATTTGATTTTTTTTTCTTTTCTTTACGTACGTGTTTAAAGTTTCCAAAGTCTTTTTGTACCTGTGTACGTTATTTCGAACACGTGTGTGAATGATACTATACTATTGTTTATTTCTTCGTAAAGATAACGGGTAAACAGACGTGTGCATAACGTCGTGTATATTAAAAAAATAAAAACCGAGCAAACAATCGGAACTGACGTTTTACTAATAATGCGATATTGTTTCGAGTAAACATTTTGACAGAAAAAAAAAAAAAAAATGAAATCCGCGCACACCCGCATTGTGCGACAGTGTAACACGATATTGTAGCGCGCGCAATATACACGTAATTATACCGCGGTCACGTGTTTTTGTGTATTACAATACACAGGCGTCGCATAAATATTATTGTTTTTTTTTTTTTTTTTTCTGTATTATATTATTTTTATATATATGTATATGTATATACACACATAATATATAACGTTCGGAAATATCGCAAAGGGTTGTGGACGTGACAAAAAGGGTCATTTTTCGGACACCCCCTTCGCCCGCGCGAGTCCTCGACGTCAGCCGCACAATCCGCCGGCCATACGGACACCGCGCAATATAACTGCAATAATAATATATTGTGATCGGACCCGGCAAATGGTCAAAAAATTCTAGTTTTATTATAATTTTTCTTTTTTCCTCTCTGTTTTTATGTCCGGCCTCTATCGTCGCATGACAATAATATGTAAAAATATGCTGAACGTTTTGGCAGACAAACAAAATATTATCGTTATGCCAATGACAGTTCGCCCGATTTTGTCGAATCGCGTATGGATTTATAACTGTTGACTCGACGGTATTTCAGTTTTTTTTTTTTTTTTTTTTTTTTGTCCCGTTTCCAAAAAAAAAAATATCATGTTTGACCATACAGTATAATAAAATATGTATATATATATATATAGGTACCTACGACCGAATAGTGTGCATAATAAAATATATTATACAAGTGCTCGTATATATTATACACAATAATATATTGCGAGCAGTTTATTGACGTGTGTGTGTAATAAATCTTACCTACACCATTATTGGTAAAAACCGATTGAAGGGGGACGTAAATCCTCAAATTTCCGAAATACGAAAAAAAAAATATATAAAATCATTACAGCAAACACGAATCATTTTTATGGGGGACTAGTAAAACATCTGGAGGTGCTCAGTTCCCGAGCCCATTTCCCATTTCCGCCTCTGAGTATAGGAGTTTATTGAAAAAAAAAAAAAAGATAAATTATTGTACTTTAACTACATTAACCGGTTAAAAAACCCGAATAAATGTTTCCTACAAAGCATGGATAAAAAAAAATCATCAAAGAATTCAAATATGTTTTCAACATCAAAACGGGACGTGAACACAAAACTGACACAATATTATTCTTATCTAGTCGATCGGGAAACTGAACGAAACAAAATAGAACCCGTTCAAAGGTAATAAAGAAAACTACAAAATAATGTATACTTACCTATAGAAATGAAATCTATAAAAATGGTTAAATTTTTCAAAGGTTTTTAAAAGTATATACTTATCTGGATACATTTTCGTTCCATATTACACAAATATCATGCATTTCTTCGTTGTTTTACTGCATTGTAATAAATTAGTTATTGTATTTTCAAATTTTTTTATAAATGATTAGTTAATAATTATTTACGTGTTTAGTGTAGAAATCTATAATTGCATATTAATTATCTATTTCAAAGAAAAAGTTAAAAATGAATAATATTAATTTATGTAATGTCCTCTAGTGTTCATATATTTATGAAAATAAACTGATAGATTCACCGTTAGATCGCTCTAGCAGTGAAATGACAAAACATTTGCACAATGCATAATAGCGCATCAAATTACTTATTCAAAATTCATAAAAAGAAAATGTAAAATACAGCGTTTTACATTTTTGCGTGAATTTTTAAATACCTATTATTGTCTTAAGCATAAATTTTAATTTTATTTAAAACTATTTGAAATGATTATTAGGAATGACAAATATTATTATTATAATAATAATATTAACACCCACAGTCTATACCAATATACGGTATTTCTTATTTACCGAAATATACTTTACTCCAACAATCAGACGAGTAGGTGGATACTTTTAATATGAAGTGCCCTTAAGCGCCAGTAGTATATAAACTAGTGAATATTCCATCTGCATACGTTGAACTAAGTTGAACTAAGTTAAATAGAAGGTTAAATATTGTATAGACCACCACCCTCGTTTACAGTACAAACTCCCATACAACACCCTTAATTAATATTTCGTGCGTACCAAAAATTCGGTAAAAAACATGGCTCAGGTACCCATCAAAGATTCACCACCACCCATCCATTAAAAGAAGCGTGGCTTATAAGGTTATATATGAGTTTTATTCCTAACGCATATGCAATAATAATGATACGGTAAATGATAAGATATGTATTTAATAAACCGTGCAATAATATTTTTTAAAAAAAATGTATAAAATAATGTCAGTAAAAGGGATGCATTTCTCTTAGACTTCCTTATATACCTAGATAAGAGGGGGCCGTTGAAAATTTTTTCTCTGGCCCAAATTTCGAAGTTACGCAAATTTACTCGTATAATACAGGGTTTGTCTGACTATAATAATTGAGCATCAGGTATTAGGTCTTCATTTAGACCATTTTCTGTCCCCTTTCATTTCCACGAATCAAATACAATTGAAAATTATTATAGCTAAATACTAGAGCTGTATGTGAACAAATATATTTACGTAAATTGCATTATAAATAACATTTTTTTTATAATATTATATAAATTATTATATTATTATAATAACATACTAAATTAATATCGTGGTATTTATAATTTGAAAAATAGTAGGGGGCAAAATAATTAAACAGTGCCATTTTTTTTTTTTGGACGTCTTATTAGCTTACGTTTGTTTTCGACGATCTGAAAATATACATTAACTGATAGATGCACTAAATTATAATGTAAATCTAGGGGTAATCATCGATGGCGTGATAGGGTGTTTCATGAGGCGATTTCGTGGTCTACTTGGGTGTTCGTGTAAATTGACGTTTATTTGATATTCACGTAAATATTCACCAAACACACTAGGTTGCCAGCTTAATAACCATTATTACGTTATTAGGTACCCGAAAATATGAACGGCAATTTAATATGTCAAAAAGGTTAAGAAAACAAAATTATGTATTTAAATAATGTGTGAAATATAAATGATTCCACATAAGTAAACAAATATATTATAAATACGTGTGTTAAAAAAAATATCGAAAAAAAACCCTTCTTGTTCATCGTAGCTCAAATCATACCTACTAATAATAAGTTGACCGAGTTTCTCAAAAGCAAAACGATCGTCGTCGCACAGTATTCTCTATGTCTCGAATTCCTGGAAATCTTACGAAAATGGCCATGTCGCTTAATAATAACGATAGAGTCTTTTATAAAGTACTTATGGCAGTGGGTTTTGGATTGGATACGAATCATCAATATTTCCATTTCTTACGATTTATAATTTACTTATCAGTTACAGATTGGTTTTTTTCAGTGAGTTGTAAATACCTTTATTATGTTGCCTAAAATATTTTATGTAATTGAAAAACTAATAATATTGTAAATATAATATAAAATATAACATTTTATCTTAGTTTTTTACGTAATAAATATAATAAAAACCAAACTAATTTTACAATATTTCATTATCAAATTAATTTTAATTTCCAATTGCTTATTACGATAATTATTATTTTAACAACAATAGCATATTTTTTGGAATCTTAAGGACTATTTTATTATAAAATGAAAACTAAATAACAATAGTTATCCATCTGTATTTTTTTTTTTTTTTTTTTTTTTTTTTTGTAATTGATCAGAAATATTGCAATTACTTATTTTTTTTTGTTTGTTGACAGATTATATTGGCGCCTAGTTACACTATCTGGAAGGAATATAATGTACTACCCCTGTTTATTATTCTGGAACTAATACAATATACGTTGGCGGGAATTCTTTATCTTTCAATTTTAATAGTGTTACTTTTTAAGAAAGACGCTATCTTTTCAAATTACCATTTCATACAAACACATTTCATGCAATGGTCGAAAAAAAAACAGACGAATCCTAATCAAGCTTATGAAAAAGTTCTAAAATATTTCAATGATGTCAAGTTTGGTGGGTTATTTGTGTTTTGTACTATAGTGATTGGTCCTTTGATAGGGGCTTTAAATGATTTGGGAAAAATACCATTAGACGATCGTTCACATTTCCCATTATTGTGGCCTAAGGTTAGTTTTACTTGCAAAGTATTTTAATATAATTCAATAATTAAAAGTAAATTTTTTTTTTTTTTTAATAATTTGACTTTAAATATGCGTTTATAATTGCTAATCGCTAGTTGATAACGAATAAACATCCTATAATAATATATATTAAACACTATAAATTATATAACATTAATTAATTTATTAGTAGGATATGTATTATATACATATATATATATATATATATATAGTCATAAAAGACAGTTTTCTAATGAATGTTTGGCTGGAACACGATTAACCTTGATCACATCCAGATTGAGCAGGGTTACAGTTAAACAATAGAAACCCAAAAAACAACACGATTGAGCATGAAAATAGGTGCGACGTTTCCACTTTGTACCGTAAAATATTATTATTAAAAAATAAAATACATTTGAATATAAATGTTTAAAAATAAAAAACTTTAGTTGGTTTTTAATCACATATTATTACATATTAAGACAGCGTTTGCTGGGTCAGTAAGTTTAGTATATATTACAATTAAAATTTGTTCCTTTAAATACCGAATATATATATATATATATAAAAAATAAATAAAAAAGGTTGAAAATGTCAATGGGAGCCAAACTTTACTACTTTTTAGCTTTAACTTTTGCCCTTTAAAATAATTGAAATATGTGGTTAAAGAGTAGAGAGACGCAGGAAGAGGAATACATGCGTCCAAATTTTTAACTATCTCCTTTTAAATTTTCTTTGCAACAAACAATTATATGATAGGGGAAAGATCAACATTTTTCATTGATAATGATTCCCTCTCAGATTTTTCGTAACTCTAAGTTCTAGTTTAAACAGGTTCAAACATATAATATATGATAAAATAAGTACTACCTATAATATAACACGAAATAAATTTAAAATATTAATTTACTTTTTATTTTATTTTAATAATATCACATTAATTTAAAGAAAATTTATTCCGTCTAACTTTTATTTTATTAATAAATTGGCTAGCAACAATTGATAGATGTCTTCATCGTCATCGTTATTAGTGGAAGATTTATTACCAAAATAATCTGATAATATCTTTTGTTTATTCATTTAAAGAAAATATATAATAAAATAATTATATAAAACTACAAAAATTCAAACTTTTTAAATGCGAATTGCAAAACAACATTATTTTGATAAAAAAAATGTCCGTTTACAAGAATTTATGATAAGCTGTAGTCAGTATAGCCACTGTCACAATGTCACAATATTCATATCATTATCGTTATAATTTTATTATTAACAATGTTCTCGAATCTCAGATATATTATTCCGTAAACACGGTTTGAGAAACTCAATCTTTTCAATTGTTTGATGGAAGTCAACAATTTCAACACCAAAATTTATTTTAAATAACACTCCACCTATTTAAGGCATTTTAAATAAAGGTTGCTATTTGAAAATCAAAAGTTGGTAGTCATTTCACATTCAAAAATAACAATGACAAAAAAAATGAAATGTAAAATGTTAGAACAATTAGATTCTGAGCAGAGCTAATGACTTTACAAAATTTTTATTTTTTATTTTTTTATCAACTTTTCTATCAGAAAACTTACTCAGATTTTTAAGTATAGCACCTTTTCTGAAAGGAAATCAGTGTGAAAAGATACTTTAAGAACGTCGTTTTTCAATTTTCTCAGGAGTTTTCTCATCAAATTTGAAAAACCGGGAAAAACGTAAGAAAACTGGGAAAATCGGTACAACATTAAACAAATATTATTAAAGAAAATATATAAAGCATATATAATTATTATACTTTAAAATGACATACATATTGTTGACAATGCATCACTGTCAACTGAACTCCACTCAGAATTGTTTTTTTCGTAAGCAATAGTTTATCGTTGTTTACAGGTACTATTAATATCTATAAAAGTGGCTACACTCGTCCCCATTATCCTAGAACGTCTTATATTTTTATTACTTTCTAATGCTGAACGATAATATTGTCTAAAAATTATTATTAAATTTATGCCTTTGTGCGTGTATTTCAATAAATAATGTCAAATTAATTTCAAAATATTTATATATTGTAGTTTGGTGAAAAAAATGATCTCCGTACTTATGGGATGACTTATTTGGCGCAATTATTGTCGATTACTTTAACATATATTTCGGTTGGATCATTCAATTTTGGATTTATGGTTATGTTGCATGAATTCCTTCACCAATTTGGAATGTTATTAGATGAATTGAACGAAGCATTCGATTATAGAAACGATAAACAATTTGAAAGACGTTTTATTGATTGTATTATTCACCATCAAATGATAATTAAGTAAATTACTAAATATTACTTATTATTTTTATAACTATAGCCAAACATTCAGTATAGGTATTATGTACTGGCCTACAGGAAGCCGGAAAATATCCTAGTGGTCCAATGCTTGTCACTAAGAAACAATAATGCGTACATGAATGTAAACAGTTTCTTGACGAATAGGTCAAAATAGGTCCAATAATACTTATATTATGCCATTACAAATTTTTTCTTTTAAATTTGGATTCTCATAACACCATGTTAGATTAGGGGAGGTTACGTCCAAGAATTTACATAAAAAAGTGAAGATAAAAAGACGTAACGAATGATGAAGATATAAAAAAGACATGGAAAGAGTATTTTGAGAAATTACTGAATGAACAGTAGTTAAGAGAGCCGTTAAAGGGTGTTTTGTAGAAGCCATACTATGAAGATATGGGAAAATATTATAGGTAAACGAATTAAAGCGAAACATCAATAATTATTAAGAACCAGTTTGGTTTTATGCCAGGAAAATTGACGATGGAAGCCGTGTTTTGTGTGAGATAGATTGGTGTACAAGTACACAGAGAAGAAAAAAAACCTATGTATTTATAGATATAGGGAAGATTTTTGACAAAATAACGAGAGAGGTTCTGACGTGTGAGCATTAATGACAAAAAAATATCCAAATTTGTTTGATAAAGGATATGTAGGTAAGGAGGTTCAAATATGAGTGTAAAATGTATGTTTGGAATAAAAAAATATTTTGGGGTTGGAGCAGAACAGGACAGTATGATGAAAGTACAAGACAGCTAATAACAAATGGTGACGTAATAGGTGAGGTTGATCAAATACCTAGGATCGTTTTATGATATCTGGCTTCGACGATGATATAAAACACAAAATTAAGTGTGACTGGATAAAACGGAGAGAGGCGTTAGGTGTTTTATTTAACAAGAGAATTTCAATAAGACTTTAAGGTAAGTTATACAAGAGTTTGGTGAGATCTACTATGTTCTATGGTTCAATGGCAGAATAATACTAGATTGCCAAATAGAAAAGAGAGCTAGTGTAAGAGAAATGAGAATGCCCAGGTAAATGAGTGTACGATGAGTAACGAGAATAAGTTCAGAAATAAGTACATAAGCGGTAGCTTATGAGTGGCTTCTATAGTAGACAAAAAAAATAAATAGACTGTGATGGTTTGGAAGAGAAGGATCAGAGATATTAAAAATTGTAATGAAAATAAACGCAGAAAGAAAGAGGAGGAAGAGAAGACCGAAAATGAGTTGGTTTAATGTGATTGAAAATGATATGAGGACATCTGTGAAGACGGTGTGGGGGATCAAGTTAAGTGGAAGTTAGAACGGGAGGTGGTTGATCCTAAATAGTTGGTATGAAAGCGAATGATAAAAAAAGATGATAATCACTTGCAGGCTATAACTTTGAATACCCAGGATCTATAATTAAACGTTGATAATAGCTTTCTAAATGTATTCTAAAAAAAAAAAAATACTATTAGTATATTTGTATTAATATAAAGTATACTTTGAGGGATAGTTACATTAATTAACAATTTACTTGATAATAATAATTATAATAATTATAATTTGTCTTTTATGTATGTTATATTCTATATTCTGTAATACATATGACTTTAGTATATAATAGAATATTAAATTAAATTAAAATATACATTTTTTTTTAATATTTTAGATTTTTAAATGATTTTAAGTCATATTTCAAGTGGCTAATTCTTATCGAAATAATCGGTTTCCAGGGATTATTCGCCACCAGTATTTACAATTTAACAAAAGTATGTGAGCTCTATATGTACTAATTTTTTAGATAAAAGAATTTTTTTTGTTTGTGATACATAATCTATTAATCTCGGAAACCAAAATTACGTTCCTGAAATAACTGATTGGATTCGTGGTTTTATCTGTGCAGTAGAAAATTGGGGTTTAATAAATAAACAATCGGACAGGTTACTCAGTTTGGGGTGCAGAGATGGGATCAGGGTAATTTATAATATTCTGCTTTTGTTTTTTATTATTTTTTTAATCTTATTCAGTGGTTTTCAACTCAACATTAGGCACTCACTACTATTGTAAATTGTCTACTACCATGGACCACTTAATTCTACTCCTCTCACCACTAATAATTTATTAGCAAATAATAAATTGTGAAATCAATAACACAGTAAACTAACTACTTGAGATGAATTCACGGAGCACCAATTGAGAACCACTGATCTAACCTAATGCCAATGGAATAATAATTTCATTTTATTCTAACTTCAAAAAATTGTGTGGCTTACATTACGTCGTTGTAATAATACACTTGGCGTCACAAAAATCGCACCTATTGCAAATTATTTTTCAAAGTAATTTTAACTACACTTAATCATATATAAGGGTACTGTTATGATATATCATTTGAAAGGTGATGAAATAAACTTGAAAAATAAATAAATGGTATGTGTTTTTGTTTATCAGTGTTTTAAAAAATAAGTTAATCGTGGAAGAGGAAAACAAATTGTATTGAGGATATACAGTTTTACAAACAGAAACAGACAATAGACTTCATATAAAAATAAAAAACTGTTACTAAATGTTATTTAAAATCTAGTGCTACTTCCTCTTGCCTTAATTACTGCTTCCATACGATCTTTCATAGAAGTTATGAGTCGTACGATGCGTTCTTGAGGAATGTTCACCCATTCCGCAACAACAGCATATTGAAGATCTTGGAGGGTTGTTGGGGCAGGATCATGTGACCGCACTCTTCGTTTAAATTCGTCCCAGAGGTGCTCAATTGGGTTTAGGTCTGGACTTCTCGCTGGCCAGTTCATAACAGGGATCCCAACCTCTTCCGTATAATTTTTTACAATTAATGCGGTGTGGGAACGAGCATTGTCGTGCATTAGTATAAACCCATCTCCAACAAAACCCGCATATGGTACCACATGCTCTTCTAAGATCTCTGTAATGTATCGATCAGAAGTTAGCGATCCTTGTCCTCGAGCGCCACCAGTTCGGGAAACGCACACAAGCTCGGTCTTGCTATCGATGGAAATGCCGCCCCAGAACATGCATGATCCACNTAATGCCAATGGAATAATAATTTCATTTTATTCTAACTTCAAAAAATTGTGTGGCTTACATTACGTAGTTGTAATAATATATTTAAACGTTATCACTTATCAATAATTATTATAAAATGTATAATGTGTAAAACGTAGATATATTATGTACTATTGTTTCAGGCAAGTGCTTCGTTTGGTTATAAAGTGAAACTTATCGGCGTGTTATTGTTTAACATAATCCCTTTCGTGTTTCATTGTCAAATAGGAGAAGAGTTACTAAACAAAGTATTTATAATTAAATTTTTTATTAGTTATGTTTGAAAATAAATAATAATAAAACGGCGTTCAATGATTTATATCTTATTTATGAATATCCAGTGTTTGGAACTTTTACGTTCAACTCAGAGGTGGGGCCCTACATAAAAATGAATTGGATTAAATATTTTTTATTACCTATCAACAATATAATTTTTATTACCATAAAACCGTAAGGTTGGTCACGTATAGATAGTTAATGACAACCACACAGAATAATGGTTAATTTTAATATATAGAATAATGGTATTCTATGGTTTGGTAATAATGATAACATTGACAAAATTGATAAACATCTATCTCAATCATAGACCTTTAACTAATAGACGAGTCTTTTGCACACATAGATCGGTCATAGATAGAGGGCGCTCTTCTCGTGTGACTTGTGACTTTTACGTGGTATTATTGTACATTGTACTACACATACAAAATTGATGTGATTATACTGTACACTAATGTAATATGTCTGACCGATTACTACTTCAACTACTCTATAGGCAAGGCCAGTCTATTAATATAAGATCTATGATCTCAATAGAAAATACATTTTTACAAATTACAAGTGATGTCGTGGGGTGTGTACCATAGTATTACCACACCTGAAATGTATTGTAATTTATTTATTATTTTTAGATGATAGTAATATTATGAATTATTGATGATTTTATTATTTCATTATTGAAAATTATCATTTTCGTCTTTTTTTTTATATAATGAACATTAAATTAGCGAAACAAAATCGTTCATGTTTATCTATTAATTGAATTCGTTCGTGAACACGTTCTATCTGAACACTGGGCATACCTAATGTCACACTTATATAGGTGACATTTGATTAGTAGACTAATTGTATGTATAAAATCAAAGCAAAGACTTTCAAAAATGTTCACAATCGTCTTCAAGACCATCCAAACGCCCTAATTAAGAAACTTCCTTCTCTCTCATATTTCCCTAAACTAAAAAAGGGCATGCCTAGAGATATAATTAAACATTAATTTATTTTGAAAAATTATTTTATAAAATTAGCTTAAAAATTGTCAGAATGTTTCGATAGTATTTTACACCGTCTATAGTAAAAGCTAATAAAAGTATTTTATGAAAATTTCAATTACAACAAATTATCAAAAAAAATATTCGGAAAATCAAAAAAATACCTCAATACACTAACTGATTCAAAATTCAACAAAAAGGTCTTTTTATCATTTTTTTGATTAGAGCATATTTTTTTCTGGTGAAATTTAGTTTATATACAGAAAAAAAAATTAGCATACATCATATGTCACACATTATCACTCCGCTCAGAATCTAAAATGTTAATAGAAATACCGCTGAAGGTATTAATTATAATTTTAAAAATGTTTACAGATTGTCATTTTTTTAATAAAAAAAAAAAAAAATGAAGTACTTATTCTCATTGATATTTTTGTTTACAGCACAAACAATTGGCAAATCACATTTATAACATGATGTGGTACGATATGCCCACCAATCACAGACAACTTATTGTGATTATGTTTCAACGTACTCAAACAGATCTTTCATTGAACGCAGCTCTTTTTTCAAACGAAGTCGCGTCCAGATCATTAATCACTAAAGTGATCAAACAAGTGTACACGTTACTAAATTTATTACTAAACATATAATTTGTAGCAACACGCTAAACATATTTGTGTGGTATTAGGACATTAAGTATTAATACATCAATGTTGCTTTAAACTTAAACTTTTTTATTTTAAACACAAAAAATATTAATAACTGAATGTAAGAAATATTTTAACATGTTTTACACATTGACTACCTAATTCATAGAATGCCTAGTCATTGTTAATTCACAATAATTGTACTTACTTAGTAAACAATATTTTTCTATTGTTATTTGTTTTGCATTTAACATTTAAATACATTAATGGAACCAATAAAGGGGTAGGTACTATTTTATTCAAAATCGCATTTTTGATATATCTAATATCTATTTGTAATTTAAAAATAAATAATATTTAAATAATTAATAAATATAAAATTAAATATATATACATATTATTTAACTATTTTAATGTTCGTTTTTATTAAATTGACTATCTGTCTTGCTGGGCGTTTCCTGTACCACAATCATTATATTGAACAAAAAAAATAGGTGAAAAATGGACAGTCTGGCTTTAGCAGACTAAAAGTATAGCCTAGGTAACCAATAAATCAACAAAAATAATTTGATTTCATACAATAAAAATCAAATTTCGGATGGCTGTTTTCAATACGAATTTGATTTCAGTAGCTATAAACCTTTTGCGGAGAACTCAAACCATTTTGCAAAAAAAGCTTAAAAATCGATCTATGATACATATATAATAATAGCATACTTACTGAAAACCTCTATTATATTATGTTATATTATAATTAGTGATATGATTCGAATTACGAATTTCAAAATCCGAAAATATGTATTTCGAACACCGTATTGCAAAAATGTATTAGGAAAACTCCTAAGAAAATTAAAAAATGTCTTCACTAAAGTACCTCCCCAGTCTGATTTCCTTTCTGAAAACGTATTGCAATTGTAAATCGGAACAAGGTTTCTGGTAGATAAATTGTCCACAGAAAAAAAAAATATTTTTATAAAATCATAAGCTTCATTGCTTCACTCAGAATCTAATATAAATAATCTAATAATTGTCTACACGAATGTATAATGTAAACTATAAGTAGTAAAATATTATGTCTTGATTTCAGCACTTAACAGTTATTCTAAATTAATGTTTACATAACTACATAACCTTTTTATTATTTTTTTTAAATTGAATTTCAACAATCTATTGTCTATAAATATTAAGTTAGAACTGCGTAACAAATAGGTTAAATAAAATTAGTTATCAACGAGTACCTATTAGTTCAAAATGTATTATTTTTTATGTGATTAAAGTCTTATGCTGTAGCTCATAGCAAATTTGTTTTTTTATATTTTTTTATAAGTTTAAGTATCTGTTAAAAGTGTTTCAAAAATAAAAATAAAATATTTTGTCAAAAATTAAATATTATTTGATTATATTTTGTTATTTTATAATAGACTTATCGTATTCGAAATTATCTTAGTTTTTTTGTTAGACATTTTTATGAATTTTATAAGCTCCATTTTGGCAATAAAAAAAATTGCCGAAAGAATTATTTAGCTAAGTCTGACCTGTGAAATAATTTTTAATACATAAATAAAAATGTACAAAACTAAGTAAAAAAAAAAAGTTTTTGTAGCGTTTGCGAATTTGTGAATAAATTATGTAGTCGTACTGGGTAAGAGTATTGAAAAATAGTTTTTACGAGCAACTTTTTGAATGATTGAATCTGATTACTTTTGTACTTATAAAATCCCAATACTCGCTGCTTAAATTCATAAATAATATAGCTTATAGTTTTTTTACGAAAATAACATTGGAGCATACCTACTCACTTGCAAAAGAAAAACGATAATAATGTACCTAATAACCTGGTCGAACTACTTGGAGCACGGGTAGGTCTTTAAATAATATGTTTCAAACGTTTTTGTAAAATCAATGACCTACCTAAATATTTTATGTATGTATATTTTATAAATATCGCAGTTGAAAAAAAAAATACCTCAGCTAAATTATTTAATATATCTATTGTTAGGTAAATACTAAGTTCAATAATTAACGTTATTAAAAACTGTTCAAATATCAAATTATTTGTTTAAAAACGTCTTTTTCATAGACTGTCAATAATCAACGTTAAAAGTAATTATTTCTACCCATGTTTATATGTATATAGGTACATACAAAAATGCTGACATGTGCTTGTGTGTGTGTGTCACTGTTGTATGTGGTCATTTGAGAAAGTAGTATAACTATATTATAGATTAATTAAATTTGTCTGTACCTACTCAACGATAAATAACTTCTAACGAAAAACAGTTCCGAGTTCAAGTTCGTTTTAACTTTAACATATATAACTACTAGTACACACCACATATTATGCTCAACTTTATTTTGACCACTTAGGTGAACCTTGTGACAATCCATGGTGGTATTATGTATTTTTCTTAATTTAATACTTAATTAGTTTTATATTTTTCGTTTAAATTAATATTTGAATTCAGCCTATCTACATATAATAAGGTAGGTGACCATTCTTATGTTGTTAACCCATATAGTAATATGCTAAATTATATTAAATTATATATAATATGACAAATTCAATATACCAAAACGTTTGGAAATACGAAAATATAATATACTTACTTATATTTTGTGAGAAATATAAACGATTCTACGTAAATATTTTATAAGTGCCCACATTTGAGACCAAAACATTGAAAAATAAAAACCTTTTATTAACAAAAACTTAAATCGTACCTACTAATAATAAGTTAGTTGGGTTTTGCAAAAGTAGAACTATAGTTGTACAATATCCTCTATACCATCAAACTCCTAACAGTTATGAAAATAGCCACATCGAATTATTATGATAACCCAAACGGAAGACCATTTTATAAAACACTTATGACAGTGGCTTTTTCATTGGACACTAATCATCAATATAACCATGTCTTACGATTTACAATTTACGTAGTTATTGTAGACTGGATTGTATCAGTGAGTTGAAATTATATAATTAAAAATGTAATTTAAAACAAATAATATTGTAGGTATAATACTGAAATATATTTAATATATTCGATATTA